CCGTACGCGGGGAGGGCGGGGTATAAGTGGAATTAAATAAATAAATAATAAAAATATAAAATGATTAGCTTGACACAATTACTGCCCTTAGCACTCATGCTTTAATTTTTGAGTTTTTTCTTCTTGGTTTTCTTCGCTTTCTGTAATTTGGGAGCCGCCGCTCCTTTCTCCAATTCAGATGATTCTGAAGACGAGGATATTTGGCTTGTTGAGTCCTGTGAGTAGGACTCCTCTTCTTCTTCTTCCTCCACATCCGATTTGCTTTTCCTTCTGCTTCGTTTTTACATTAAACATTTGATCCATAAATTTTTCCGCTTTTGGAACAGAGTCAATTTTATATTTTTTATCTTGATAAGTAAAACTCAACCCTTTCGGGAATAGCCATCTATACGATAATCCCTTTTTTTGCAGGGAGAGAGTAAGCATCCTGTATGGTTTCCTCCTTTTTCTTACTTTGAATGGGATGTCTTTCAAAATTTTTATCTCTTCGTTCTTTATTTTTAAGGATTTCCCCATTGTTGACTTTAGCACCAGATCTCTGGTTGATCGTTTCGTGAATTTTATATAAGTTTCCCCTGGAAGTTTATTTTTCTTTATAAAATCCGGATAAGTCCATTTCCTTAATTAAATCTTCTTGTTTGTAATCCATTAGTGGGGCCAAGGCAACCGCCAAAAGGTCTTTTAAATCCTCATTCTTGTCCTCAGGTATTCCATGGAAACATAGAATATGCATGGATCTTTCCAGCTGGAGCTGTATTAGTTGTGTTTTTTCCGAGGATCTCTCCTTCTCTGCTTCATCCACTCTTTTATTAATACTCTCAGTCTGTTTTTCCATTTTTTTCAACGTTTTCTCAGTTGCTGTAGTCCTCTTGTCCATCTGCTTTAGCTTTTTTTGCACATTATCTAGTTGGAGTTGAGAGTAGTCATCTGTTCCATTAGAGGGCACAGTGCATTTGCTAACAGCGAAGAAAGGTCTGTTGCTGCTTCCTGGTTCTGGGAGGGAGTCGTTGGTATATTGTTTCCGTTCACCAGTTTTTTTTTCTGGCGCTCACTGTCCTCTCCCAGCCATAATATCAACAAGAAGTAAGGTTTCCAAAATAAAGCAAAAGTTGTACGTTTTAATTCCGCTTCGTATAGTTTGGCAGTTTATGCGTTCACTTAACTTCTTATGTGCTTGGTTTTGCTCAAAGTCTCTTTATTTCCACTTTAAAACCGTTTTTTACAGTTTACTCTTATGGGGGGGGGCTTGGAATTTCCTCCCCCCACGCTTCAAGCGTAGTCGCTTCCAATTACTACCAAGGCTCCCTCTGCTTATTTTAATCTGAGCTTTGCTTAACTCACAGTTTGTAGCCTTGGAGATCTTTTGGAAGTCTTTTACAAGTTTAGTCGTGATCGCTTACTCCGGCAGTCGTCTCTAGGCGCCATGCTGGCTTCGCGGCGACAGTACCTATTGGGGAAGAAGGTGCGCCTCAATTCCTCCGGCGTCCCCTTGGAAGAGACTCTCCTCAGCTCCCCAGGCTGGGGGGGGCCCCCCCAGAGGGGGTCTCCTACAGAGACCCCGGGGGGGGGGTCCGGGACGAACTCGAACCCCTCCCATCAGCCTGGTCTTGGCGTGTCCCCATCAGAGTGAGATGGGATGCGTCTGAGCGGCGAAAGTCGCTTAAACCGGAAGTCGACTTGTTTAGTTTCTGCAGGGCATGCAAAGCTGAATTGTTTAGGTTAGCCTCTGGAGGATAATCCATATGTTTGGGCTGGATTTATTAGTGGTGTGGTGATAGCCACATATTCTATTATTTTAATGTTAATATTTTATATTTGTCGCTGCAAGACCCTTTGGGTGAATGGTGACTAAAAAATCTAATAAATAAACTAAAAGGTAGCTTAGAGTATAGGTTCCAAAAAAATAACATCTAAGGATGCCCTCTGCTTCTTTCCATGGGAGGGACAGGACCCCCTTCTGGCTTAGCTAAGTGGAATATCTTCTCCCTCGTGTAGAAAAAGCCAGTGCTCCCCCCCCCCCCAGTAATCGCCTGAGTCTGGCACTGTAAAGGGTAGGGATTTGGAATTATGTGTAAGTGGCATAGCACGAGACAGAGTTTATTTGCTGTTGTCACTATCCCTTTTTCTTACTGACTAAACTGAATGGTTGAATCAAGCAGGTGTACTGGGATACATTAGGAAACCTTCCAGAGTTTATTTAGTGATTCTTCTGGCTGTCAAATATGTGCTGGAATTAACGTTTTTATTCTCTCTGTCTTGGTTATGTTTTTGGAAAATACCCTGTCTGCCCTATAACCAGACATATGCCAAGAGATTGGCACAATTTACAAATAAATTTTATTTCCTCTCTCAGAAGGGGTTGAAAGATTGTTTTTTTCAAAGAGGCACGACACAGATCAACAGATTTCATAATATATAGTCTCAGTCATCTTTACATTGATGTAATTATACTACCCTGTTTCCCATCTGGTGGAGGTGCGAAAAAGTAGAAGAATTTTGGAAAAATATAAAACAACTGATTCTAGAAATAGTAGAGATAGTTACCATTGTTACCTGAAGTATATCTATTAAACATGCTTCCTGACAGCATAAACTACAATGATGCACGATTAATACTATATATCCTTACAAGCGCTAGAATAGCTATAGCACAATGTTGGAAATCCGACAAAGTACCAAATAGAGAAGAATTAACTGTAAAAATAATGGACTTAAAAGAAATGGACAAATTAAATATGTTACTAGCGGATAAACTTGACAGTGTGTTCAAGAAAAGATGGCAGAAACTAGACAGGTGGTTAGAAAGACATACATAAGAAGCTCCAAAAAATGTGCTAAAATGAACTTATGTATTCTGTACTATACGATGTAAAAAAAATAAAATACGTAAAAAATAAATAAATAAGACCTACCCAAAAAATAAGCCCTAGCAGGATTTCTATGCATTTGTGGTATAAGCCCTAGTGTGTCTTCTTGAGAAAAAATAAATATAAGACAGTGTCTTATTTTTGGGGAAACACGGTATTATCACTGCATTAGGTATTTTTGTTATCTTTGAAGTTCAATCGTCTAAGAAATGCATGGGGCATGTAATGAACTCCATTGCTTTTGTCTCTCTGTGCTGGGAGGAGGATAAAACCTAGGGACAGAGTAGCTTATGACAAATGTGGAACAGAACCCACAGTTTATTACAGTTGTGGACCAGTGGTATAAAACCTATATTAGCAAAAATATTTATAGGAAAACATTACCATTGCATAAAAAAATAAACATCGCAAATATATTTCATTAAGTCAGCCAGGAATGATAAGTGCATATCTGAGCGTGTCATGGAAGTGGTAGTGCAGCGGGACATGTCCAGCCATTTCAGCCTCCCTGCCTGCACAAGGGCATCTACATTCATGGAATGGCACATCATGGCATCTCCCTTTTGAAAGGGCAGGTGGAAGAGCTCTGAAACAAGCCAGTATTTGTGAACTAATAACTTAACCAAATAGTTTCACAGCACAATTTTTTAATTCCTAATAAGATGGTTATTTGAGACAAGACTTATGTGGTCTTGAAGTTCAATATTGCAAATCCTTTGCTTGGTTTCAGATTTAGCTTTTAAGTAACTGAGGGCTATTAATCTTCTAGGAGAATGTCCAATAGATTTTAATTTCTCTGGGAGGGGATTATGTGTACTCATATAATTAAACATGTGTAAAACACATCCTGCTTTTCCGGATAAGGAGCAGAGAGAGATGTGGGAGTGTGACTCATCCCCATCCAGCATTTCCTGACTTCTAGCAGGGATGCTGACTGCTTAGCGGACAGTTCTGATGGCTTGCTAGAGCTTAACAGAAGACTTAAGACGAACCCCTGTGGAAGTTAAATGGAGTACAACAGTGCTTGACACAAGGGGGTGTGGTGTGCATGATCTAATTTCTCACTGTAAATGAGAGAGGAGGGAGTGGGGGATCTCTGGATCCACAGCATGTCCTCCTGTGCCAGAAAAGGAATTTTGGGAAATGAGGTTGTTATCCTATCCCTACCTAGAGAAGGACGGCTGCAGTTTGAGATTCAGTGGCCAAAAATAATTTTTTTTCTGTGGCGGAATGACTGAGTATGCAGTATGTTGGTACGTCAACAGTATGTAATACTGAGAATTAATTCCAGGTCTCATGCCTTGTTTATCTACAGGTGTGGCCTGAAGTAACAGATCCTCAAAAGTTTGTATATGAAGATGTTGCTATAGCTGCATATCTGTTGGTAGGTGGTTTTTAAGAATCAGCTTTAACAGAATCCTTCTCATTAAAATATAGCTCAAATGTAGATGTATTAAAATTACTTGTCAAAAAAGTGAAATATGTCCACTTACTGTGATCATGCCACTGTAATAAGAGCTCATTACTTTCTGTGTCTTAAAAACTTGATACTGATCAATAACAACACACCCAACCGCTCAGCACTCATTGCTGCAAGTTAGAAGGAAATACAAAGCAATATTGAAGGAAAAGAAGCACCAGTCCATGGGATAAGATAATCGCAGCCTAGTACATCTCTCTGGAACCGAATTACTCCAATTCTGAAGCCAAGAAGAAACACTGCAACTTCCATATCAGCAATGGTCTGGGGAAAGCACTTTGAGAAGCTTTATAGGAAGCATAACCTTGAACCAGACCTAAACTTTGAAATTAACCTTAAATAAACTTCACAATGGAAACTTGTCACTTGTCATGAGATAATTGAATTGATTAAAAATTTAAAACTGAGAAAATCTCCTGGTCTTGATGTATTTCCCACAGAACTACTAAATATAGCTCCTGACTGGTGGGTTCAAGTGCTTGCACCCATATTCACAATGATGAGTAAGGATAGAAACATTCCAACTTCATGGAAAACATCGCTGGTTGCTCCTATTTACAAAAAAGGAGACAAAGCTGACCGATTAGCCTCCTTGCAGTGATTGGCAAGATCTACGCAACTTACCTGCAGAATAAGTTGCAGTGCTGGATGGATGAAGAGAAGATAATAGGTGACAAACAAGCAGGCTTTAGAAAAGGCTACTCTTGTATAGATCATTGCTTTACGCTGGCCTCACTGATAAGTAAATATGCACTAGACGCACCTGGCTCCTTATATGCAGCCATTATCGATTTAAGGGCTGGCTTTGACTCTGTGTCGCACACACGCCTATGAACCAAACTAAATGCTACAAGCCTGCCTAAAAGGCTATTAAAATTAATAATGAATCTTTATTCGGGAAACTCTCTGCGTGTTAAAATAAACAATGAGGGGCAGTTTTGTTGTTGTTGTTGTTCAGTCGCGCACTGTCGAGTCCGACTCTTTGTGACCCCATGGACCAGATCACGCCAGGCCTTCCTGTCTTCCGCTGTCCCCTGAAGTTGGCTCAATTTCATGTTAGTTGTATCTATAACACTGTCTAACCATCTCATCCTTTGCCGTCCCCGTCTTCTTTGACCTTCAATCTTTCCCAGCATCAGGGTCTTCCCCAGTGAGTGCTCTCTTCTCATTTGGTGGCCAAAGTATTTGAGCTTCAGTTTCATTATCTGGCCTTCCAGGGAACAGTCAGGGTTGATTACTTTTAGGATTGACTGATTTGATCTTCTTGCAGTCCAAGGGGCAGTTATCTAACCCTATATCCAAAGAGATGTTTGTCAAGGATGTGTTCTTGCACCACATCTATTCAATTTATATCTAAATGGCTTTGTCCCAGGTCTTCAAAACATACCCACTCATGCACCATCTGTGGGAAACTGGCCTGCCCTGTTGTATGCCGACGACCTTGTCTTATTATTGAGGAGTCAGATTGGCCTAAAACGTGCCATTAAAGCATTTATTGTCTACTGCAATGAAGAATTATTGGAGATAAATGAGGACAAGTCCAAAATTATGGTCGTCACAAAATCAACAACAAGATCAAACAAAAGATGGACAATTGGAAGGTACAAATTGCAGCAGGTCGATGAATTCAGATATCTCGGAATTGTATTCCAGCCAAACCTATCATGGTCCAAGCACATTAAATATCTTAGACAGAAAATCGACCTAGCCTTACTAGCCTTGAAGAAGTTTTTCTACATCCAAGGAGCTCAATATGTGCCAGCACTCCTGAAAGCGTATAAGACCTTAATACTGCTGTGTATACTATATGGTTCCCAAATCTGGTTCTTAGGTCCAACAGAGCAACTTGAAAAACTACAGCAAGCCTTCTTCAGTAAAATATTAACTCTACCATCATGCATCGCTTCTGCAGTCATAATGCTTGAGATAGGCCTCCCCAAAATCTCAACTCTGATCTGGAGGGCCATAGTTATAAATATTGACTGTTAAATGCTGAACGCCTCCCAACCTTTACCATATTGACAGAACATGAACGTTGCTGGTCAAAATGGAATGATGCTGTAGATGCGAAAACAAGCCAATTGGGCTTATGGAAGACAGAGAACTTAACCTAAAGAAGAGAAGCTTCACTCACAGAAAAGTTGCTCCAAAATGATTGGGATGCTTTTCAAACAGATGCTAGATGAAAATGCTCCCCAGTTCATCTAGGAATTACATATGCCACCAAATTTGACCTGCCTTTTTACTTAAACTTGTTGACTATTCCAAAACGGAGGCAGTCATACATGATTGCACCCTGCAGTGTGTTTCCAACAGCCCAGATGAAGGGCCGTTTTCTCAAGACCCCTCTGGACTAGCAGTACTGTGACTGCCCATTGACAGAACTTGACTCATTATGTCATGTCTTCTTCTGCTGTCCAAAACATGCAGCGGCAAGAGAAAGATTCCTAAGAAAATGGCTGCAGAAATATTCATCTTTTCCTGATGCAGCAAGATTAAGACTACTTCTGAGCAGCCTCTGCCAAAACTGCACTGTGGATGTGGCAAGTTTTTGTTTTACTGTTCTTTTAAACTCTTAAAATTTTCTTTTTTATGGTGTATGGCCTATGGGCTATAAATAAACGTAACTTGCTGATACTGAATAATGTGTGCTCTTTGTCTTTACTGTCATTAAAATTTGGGTTTTGTTTTTTCTTAGATCCTTTGGGAAGATGAGAGAACTGCAAAAGGCCTGTCCAGAAAACAGTCTTTTGTGGATCTTGGTTGTGGAAATGGTCTTCTGGTCCACATCCTAAGCAGCGAAGGGGTAACTTGCTTTTCCTCTCTCACTGGCTTTTGTGACATGAATTACGTGTATTATGGGATTGCTGGCTCTGCACATCCCATGTCCCCCTTCTTCCCAGGTCCAGGCTAGAGAAACTTCCTGGCAGTGCCTGTAGTGATGACCAGTGTTCCCTCTAAGCTGAGTTAGTGTGAGCTAGCTCAGAGTTTTTTAGCCTCCGGGTCACGCATTTTTGTCCCGAGCTCAAGAAGGATGGCTCCAGAGCAAACTAATTGATGTAGTAGCCAAATCGCTCGCTTACAACTTTAATGCCAGTAGCTCACAAAGTAGAATTTTTGCTCACAAGACTCCACAGCTTAGAGGGAGCATTGGTGATGACAGGTTTTCTTCTCCCACCTGTTCCAGTGCTTAACTCTAGAACCTCTTTTGGCTCTCAGGGCTCAACACTGGAGCATACACTGCATTATATAAATGACCTTTTTTGACTTCCATCCCTTTGCCCTGTCATAGTTTGACCCTGTAACAGACCCTGGCTCAAATTGGAGGCAGTTGGTAGGACTTTGGGGCGGGTGGGTGGGGAACCTGCTGTGCCCAAGAAGTGGGAGGTTGCCATGGGCCAGGCTTAGTCTTGATCTCACTCATGATTCTGGACCTATATTTTGCTATGTAAGCGAGTGGGTGCCATTCACTTCGTGGGGGGGGAAAGAAGCAATGCACTTCGGGTGTGGGGCATCCTTATGTGCTCCCTACCACCCCCAACCCCATCCCCATCTCCAGTTAATAATGGCCAGAGCTCCTTTAAGTAAGTGCCTTCTCAATTAAAGAAGTCTAGCCGGCACCCTGGAATGAGAGCTCGGGACTTGAAGGGGAAATTGAAAGTATCCGCAAGCAGACCTGAGCCCTGCCTGCTGTTCCTCCTTCCAGGGGTGAGCGTTGGCCACCCTCCCTGGGTTTTCATGAAAAGGATTGTATTTCAGGGAGCCAGGTGGAATTCTACCCATTGTTTGTATTATTCTGGGTAAGAGAAGTGTTCTTGAATTGTAAAATATGATGAATATCATTTAACGAATAATGTTACATGAAATCTTTCAGCATTCTGGCAAAGGGATTGATGTTAGAAGAAGAAAAATATGGGACATGTACGGGCCCCAAACACACTTGGAGGTACTGTTTTTAAAAAGTGTTCTGTACAATGTTTTCCAACTTTTTATTGCTCAAACCTGTGTGGTTGGGTTGGGTCTGTTTTCCGCAAACACATTCTTCGAAATTAACTCCTATGACAACAAAACTAATGTTATTATACACACAAAAAATCAAAGTGCAGTGTGGCATGGTATACAGGGCTGTATTGACATCCAAGATGAAGTTGAAAATGTTTTCAGTCCTGCCAGAGAACACTGAGAAGGATCAACCAATCCCTTGAGTGAGGGGAGGGCCCTTTCTGCTTGTGCAAAGGGGAGTGGGCGTCTGCAGTTCAGGCCCAGCCCATCTTAAGCAGCTTTCATTCTCTCTGAATCGACTTTGTTGCTAATATGGGATGGGTCCTTATGTTTTATCAGGGTCCTGCTTGAGGCGGTGTACAATTAAAAACCACAAAAACTCAGGGCTTTAGACGTGAGAAACTATCCATAAAACAGAGCAAACCATTAAAAAAGATTGTGATCTATACCCCTGGTTAAAAGCCAGCTTGGCACCTAAAAGACAGTACAGCAGCACACAAGAGGCCCTGTTTCTGCCTCTGAAAGAGCAGCAGGGCTTGAGAGACAAGTAGAGGAAGAGACATTTTGGTCTAGCATGATGGCAGAGAGCCTTCAAAACTGTTAAAATAATTTAAATTCTGCAAATAAATAATGACCATGTAGACGTGACAGAATATGGAAGAGGCAATGAAACTGCAGCTTAGTTGCATCATCCTGAATGGAGTTTTTGTGGGTCCCCACAGAGTCCTGCTGTGGACATTAATTTCTGGCATGACAAAGGGCCTCCTCCTTGTGACCTTCTTGTATTTTTATTTAGTGAAAGGCTGAGTTAAGGAAGTACAAGAAACTTACTACCTTTAGAGTACACAGAAA